GTTACATGGCATTCAGTTTTACCACAAATTTTTGTTCTTTTTTATAAGTAGAAATACACTCTAAGGATAAAACGTATAGTATAGTAAACCCCTAAATCAGTAACATAGTTATTTATTATCAAGTATTCTGTACTATGCCTAAGTGTATGTGTTATGCTTTTATATGACTGGCACTTCAGTAAGTTCATTTAAAATAGCATCACCCAAATGAAGGGAAGGGAGAGGAGATGGGAATAGGAAAGGCAGCAGAATGAATCAGACATAACTTTCCTGTGTTCATATATGAATACACCACCAGTGAAACTCCACATCAGGTAAAACCACAAGAATGGGATACTAATTAGATTAATTTATACTCCATGTATGTACAATATACATTCTACTTTTCATATATATCTAAAAAAAAAGAAGAAGAAAATGCAAAAATAAATAAATAAAACAGCATCACCTCAAAAACTGAGAAATGCAAGGTGGTACAATGTTACACTGGCTACTATCTTACTAGGCAATAGCAATTTTTCAGTTCCATTTTAATCTCATGAGACCACCCTCATATATGTGATCTGTAGTTAACTGAAATGAAACACGTGTTGCATGATTATAGTGGGTTCACCAATGTTTTAAATATCGTGCACATATTTAAAATAACAGAAAAAAAAAACCCAGTATGTAAGAAGAGAAAGAAGTCAGATATGTAGGGGTGAATCTGAGTTGAAAACAGAACATTTTTAAAACCCATAAAATTCTAAGAGAAATTATTTCAGGATATTTATTCTCTTGAAAAATCTTTAGAATCATGGCTGGAATAAGAAAACAACACTTTTTCTTACTGTTGGTTTTTGGGGTAGTAAAAACTTTAAGCATCTGATGATATCTAGATTTTCAGAAAAACAGAATAGCTGGTCAGAATGAATATTTTTCCAGGCATGTAGTACTGTGAGGTTAAGTAGAAAAGCAATAGACCCTTGACTATAATACCTATAGTCATAAATATATTAAAACAGAGAGACATGGAAAATGTGCACAATTTTTATAAACTAGGCCTCATAATGTCAAATTACATATAGGAGGACGATTCATATATTAAAAACACAATTGTGCTTGTAGAAAAACACTAAAGGAAAATTTTAAAAATGCTAAGTAGTTACTGCTTAGGAGTTAAGAATAAGGATGACATTTTAAAAAAGTATACATTTTTAGTTGTAGTTGGACACAATACCTTTGTTTTATTTATTTTTTTAATGTGGTGCTGAGGATCGAACCCAGTGCCTCTCATGTGCTAGGCAAACGCTCTACCGCTGAGCCACAACCCCAGCCCCTAGGGATGACTTTTTAAAGCGGCACATGTATGTTTTTAAAAACTGATGATGTGTTATTTTATATTAAAAAAAAACATATATTAAGTCTCAGAAAAAAATATGAGAAGAAAATATAGCAAAGTATAGTCAGAGGTTGATTTGGTGAGATAGACTTGGGAGTGTTTTCCTCTCTTAATTATCCTTCCTATAATGAGTATTTTTCTTTTCGTAATTGGTATAAAAATAAGTATCAAAACCTGTTTTCCTGCTTATAATTTTATTATCTGACCTAGAGATTTGGGTGGAGCACTCATAAAGCAGTGTAAAGCCTAGGAATCAGTTCAGGGGGTTGGCATAAGCTTTTTTTGGTTTTCTTTTTCTTTTCTTTTTTTGTGGTGTTGGGAATAAAACACCAGGGCTTATGCATGCCAGACAAGCACTGAGCCATGTTCCCCTTCAGCAAATCCTTTTTTGTTAAAGGGCCAGAGAGTAAATATTTTAGGCTTGGTCTCTGTCACAACTATCCAGCTCTGACACTGTAATGCAACAACAGATGTAGACAACAAGAAAATGGACAAAAGTGGCTGTGTTCTGAGCAAACTTTATAGTTACTGACTTTTAAGTTTCTGTCGAGAGGGGTCAAAATTGTCACGTATGCAGTCAAGGGGGAGAAATAAAGGATGTCCATGCTTTTTTGCCCCTTTTGATGCTTTATTCACTCAAATTGCTCAATATATTTTCACTCCATAGGTTCTTAATCAAGATAACGACAATTCTTAATGCTAGGCACTGCAATAGACATAATCATTCACAGCAAACAATTCAAGATTAACTCTAAGCACTGCAAACACACTTAATCACGCAGGCTAGTGACAGACATTCCCTCTGCAGGATAAGTTCAAAAGTCTCAAGCCTTAGGCTTTAAGTCCAGCAGATGCACACTTACTCAGACCGCGGTGATCAGGTCCGGAACCAAGGCAGGCTTTTTCTGACGTGGAGTGGACAACCGGTTGAGGAGAGGGTCTTAGGGAGGAGTTGCAGCTCTCACCAGCGTCCAGACAAGGCAGCGGTAGAGTTTGAGAGTGGTGAGGATCACACAGAGAATTAGGAAAACGATGACAAGTGATGGGATATCAGTCCAGGTCCTCATCAGGCTCTCCAGCTTGAGTGCATCCTTGTTTCGGCTAGCTGAACCCCTGTTCATTTGCTCTATTATTTATACTAAATTTGGGGGCTTTTGACACCCCTTTCAATCCTTATCAGTTACCACTGGATTTCTCCATGACATCATTTACCCTGGTGTCAGAAATATCTGGTCTGGTGGTCTCCACCCTGATCTTCTCACCTTTCCCTCTTATCAGGCAAGGACAGCCTGCCAGAGGCTTCACTCAGGGTGAGGAGAAATACCTTGTCTGAGGCCATACTGGAAGGCTCTGTTAGGTGGGCCTAATGAGTCTGGAGTTTTTAAAATGGAGTTGCTTAGGCTCAGGCCTAAGGCCATCCTCAAAGTTTCATATATCTTTCATGTATTGCCCAATATTATTCTTGTTTCAACACCCCCCCCCCACCCTGCCCACATTAAACGGTGTAAAAATCATTCTCAGATCTTTTAAGAGGCTGAAGGCCACAAGCTATAATTGTGGACTCTTGAATTAGATGAATTAAATCAAGATTGTGAGGAATGAAACTTATCAGCAATGCTGAAAGTCCCCAACAGACATGGACAATAAACTTTGTGTTTATTTTAATCTGTAATATCTCTGCATCTTTTTTCCTGAGCTAAAGATTTGCTATTTAGTTGGATGTTTTTGGAAAAGGCTGCCAAGCCATCTTGTTGAAACGTTAACAGAGGAACAGGGCAACCTGGAAAAAATGGTCATGTAAATACAGACCTATAAATATTGAGTTGTTCCTGTACTAGGCATTTCTGGGACAAGGAAGAACACATATTTTAATATAAGTCAGTGATAAGAAAATTATAGGGGTATAAACAGAATACTCTAAGATCATATAAACAGATAAGTAATTCTGTTCATGGAAGATGATTGTGTTTATTGGAGAAACTGGTAAGAAACAATCTGATAGGAAGACTTGAAAGTCTTCATGGAAAAAAACAAACACTGCAGAAGACAGTATTCTATTGTTAATATTGATCATAATATTAATACCACTAAGGAAACATTACTTTTTGTAGAACTCACAAACTTTTTAAGAGTTAATAAATCAAGAAAAAGAGTTTATAAAAAGATTTAGTCCTTAGGGCTGGGGATGTAGCTCAGCGGTAGAGCACTTCCCTAGCATGCCTAAGGAACTGGTTCAATCTCCAGCACTGGGGGGAAAAAAGTCCTAAAGAAAATCACACCATCATGAACTGAAAGTAGCAACTTTTTTTCATAGTGTACAGCACCATCTTTCATGTTTTCATCCCCAGAAAACCTCTTCCAGATTACCTTCTCTTATTGAAGCAAAAGTAACAGGTAGTCAGTAAAATCATAAGTAATTGTTTCCACAGTCAACATAAAATATAGAAATTAATAAAAAACTGTTTTCCTCATTTCTTTAAATATGCAGAAACCAGACAAATGTAATCAAATTGGTTTGAGAACAATTTGTGTATTATAAAATGTTAATGTTTATTAGGCTAACATCTAAAGGTTAATTTTTTTCTTTTAATTTAATAAACACTTATTTTAAATAGATCCTTAACTTCTTTACACTATAGATAAGTAACTACAACTTTGCTGTGTACTCACTGAGGCTCTTTTTATTTGTATATATAACTGTGAATGGAGCTCATCCATGCAAACTATCCTAGTACCTAAGGGCCCCTTGGGTGAGAGTAAGGATTAGTTGCTCTCCTCTTTCCTGAACTACTTTTATTTATGGCAAAGTAACTGTAGCTGCAAGTATACAATCCTAGATTCTGGGCACTTTTCAAAAGTGGGATTCATTAAGTTCCACCTAAATGTAACCTTTTCACCATTGTTCTCTTTATGCCCAAGTGTCTAGGCTTACCTACCAACCTTATTGGGGAAACGCTGGAGTTAAGGATGTGGAGGGCTTTTTCACACCAAGAAACCTCAATATTCTGTTTCGGAAGAACTGTCGACTTTGATGTGTTATATTACAGAAACCCGAACTGGGAGGATTAACCAAATAGCCCTTGGGTTTAAAAGCAGTTTGAAACCTCTTCTGGTCAGGCAGCTCAGTTCCAGAGTGGTGGGAAGGTAGAAATTTGTCTTTCGTTATTCTTGCTGCAGTTCCAATTTCAATGTTTCATCAAGAAAAACCTTCCATTCCATTTAGAAAAATATTTTAGACTTCTCAGTACAACTAAACCACCTGTCCGCGGCATTTACATGCCATCCAGGTGCACCCTTGCTCAGCAAAGGGACTGAGAAGTGCAGGTGTTTTTGCAAAAACCTAGATTTCTTTTACCCAGGTACCTTCAGGGTACGTAAGAAAAACTTTAAGTTTTTCAAAAGGGCTGTCAATTCGTCAGGATCTTTTTATTCGGGACGACAAACAGAACTATACATCCCCACAGGAGCGAACGTTTCCCGGCTCCGGCCGCGCCCGAGTTAGTTCCCGCCCCAAACCCCACCCACCGCGGATTGAGGGTCGCTCTCTGGGTCACTGTAAGGAAGCTCCCGCCCCGCGGAAACTTCCTGCCCCGCGGAAACTTCCGTCCCTGGATCCAACGGGCTGCACTCTCCAAATCCCAGGGGCGGCCCCGGAAGTGACGCAGGGACGCGCCTTCCATTTTGTGGAACGCCAGAGCTGCTAAGTGCGTCAGTTGTCGAGAGACGTAGACGAGTTAAGTCCAGGTCTGCGGGGAGGCAGACGACTCCGTCGCAGACTACGGACCTCTCTGGGTCTCAGCTGCCAAAGATCCTGTCCGGTAGGTGAGTGGCTCACTTTGAGGGCAAGGCTTCTCGGATCGAGGCTTCTTCATGGCCGCTCAGGTCGCGAGTGGCTGGGGCTGCTCTCTTTGCGGAGGACGGCGTCTAATGAGCGCAGTTGATTGAGGTGGGCGCTGGGGCACGTCTCCTTTTGGTATTGTTGGAGGGGTACTGAAGGTGGAAGGGCGGTCATGGTTCTAGTCCGTTTTACTGAGGGATTGCGCGCCCCTCCCTGCTACTGTTTATGTCTTCATTACCCCGATCCTTCCTGTAGTGGGTCAGGGTGCCGTTAGGCCTTCTAGCAGGGTCTGCCTTTTCCCTGGGTACCATTAGGCCTTCCCGTGAGTTGGCCCAGGGACTCCGGCACAGCGGTACCAGACGAGGGGGAGCGAGAAGGGAATTTGGCTCACGCGCCTCTCCCCTGCCGCTTACTGTGCGGCCGCCATTTTGTGCTGCCTAGTGCCCGCCTGCTGCCGTCTGCGCAGGCTCAGCTGTGGCGTCGCGAGATTCCGGCTTCCACCCCCCGCTGTGACGCTTCTGGGTGGTGGCTACGCTTGCGCGGCCGGTCACCATTGGGCTGGCCTTGCGGAGGGCGGGGTCGGCTCCGCCCGCACTTCTCGGCCTTTCCTAACTGCGGCAGATGGGAGGGGGCCCAGGAGCTGGGAGATTGTGCGGCTGCGCAGTTCAGGAAGTGGCAGTGGGCGTTGCGGTTGCTGCGGTCTGGGATCAGGGAGGGGGGAAATCGTGTTGGCAGGCGAGATTTAATTTTTGTCTACGAGGGACCTGGCCTAATTAGAGGCACTGTTGGCAATCTTGTTTATAACATCCATAGGTAAACATTCTTATTTGAGTCATATGTTTGATCTCTTAGCCACTAATTGGTATTATTTCGATTGAATTATTTTCTTAACAGGAAATACTAGCCGGACATCATGAGTGGCTGTCGAGTGTTCATCGGGAGGCTAAACCCAGCGGCCAGGGAGAAAGATGTAGAAAGATTCTTCAAGGGTTATGGACGGATCAGAGATATTGATCTGAAAAGAGGTTTTGGTTTTGTGGTAAGTATTTAGAACTAGGTGAATTATCTGTTAAATAGTAGGTGAAGGTTTTTATTAGTACTGTTTTCACTCATAATGAACCCAGCTAGAATGCCTGTTTTCGGAAATGTTATATAGCCATGAGGCAGCGATTTGCTTATTTATTTTAAGAATTAAAACATCCTAATTGCTGTCTGGCTGAAAGCCACTCCCAGTCACCCCTTGGTTAGGTTTATTTGTATTGTTATGTTAAGATTACACTTCCCATCCTGTCTTAGTATCTTTGATGCTTTAAATATGTTGTAGAATGCACATTTAAAGCCCTGTTTCTCTTATGCTTAAATTTTAGGAATTTGAGGATCCCAGGGATGCAGATGATGCTGTGTATGAACTTGATGGGAAAGAACTTTGCAGTGAAAGGTGAGAATCTTAGTTTTATAATTGGCCCTGGAAAATAGAGCAGACTAGGTCAGCTGGAATATTCTTTGAATTTGAGTATACATAAATGGAGGGGTTTTTTTTCTTTCTTTCTTTTCTCTAGGGTTACTATTGAACATGCTAGGGCACGATCCCGAGGTGGAAGAGGTAGAGGACGCTACTCTGACCGTTTTAGTAGTCGCAGACCTCGAAATGATAGACGGTATGTGGTGGTTGAATGGCTGCTTTGAACAGTTAGTATAGGGGCAGTATTTACCTTTGGGGAAACATTAGCCATAAATGCTCTGGGACTTCTTTTCAGTCTGTGTTAAAGTGCTACTTCAGATTGATGAGTAATGAATCATAGAATAACACTTTATAGTCATTTGAATAGTTTGTCATGTCTGATTGTTTGAACTTGTCCTCAGTTGAACACAAGAAATGCATTTGTCACTGCACATCAACATTGCATTTCTTCTGTTGTGAATACTCATTTTTTTCCTCAGAAATGCTCCACCTGTAAGAACAGAAAATCGACTTATAGTTGAGAATTTATCCTCAAGAGTCAGCTGGCAGGTTTGTTGAAATACAGTTTTGAGTTATTTTAATGTGGCTTTTTTTAAAAAATAAAGTTAATGGGTAGTTAATTTTTATTAATGTTTTATTAAAAGTAGTTTTATTTTTAATTAAATTAATGGATTTAATTTGTAATTTTAAATTTTAATTAAATGTAACTGGGGGATATTTCAAATTTTAATATGTGATCAAATGTAAATGTTTTGAGGATATTTTTTCTTGTTTTTTAAAATCAATTTTAACCAAATATTAAACCCTTTATTTGCCAGCCTATCTGTGTCGTTGGCCTTATGACGAGGAGTGCCTGTGGGTTATCCTAATCGTTGTCTTGGTCACTCTTGGTTGGGCCTGGTTGACTTTGCCAGTCAGCTCCTACAGTGATCAGTTGGCCACCTCTAGATCTGTGTTTGCCGGTCTAGACGTAATCGGTGCACTTATTGAAGTGCCAGGTTGCAGCGATCCCAGAGCGTTGATAACGTGATCTGATCCCTAAGTTGAGAGCTGTCTTCCTGTAACGCTTCCGAATAAGAGGTCCTGGTCGAAAAGAGTTGAAAGATACGAAATTAGGTGGTCGTTGGAATCCTGATCGCAGTAAAGTGGTCCTTGGTAACTGCACAAGAGTAGAACATGTCTGCATCGCCAGTAGTCTGCTAATAGGGAGGGCTGTGCGATTAAAGGCTTCCATCGATTGGGTAGTATCCTTCAAGTGGGTGGCGAAGAGCCAGTCGGGCATATGTCATGAAGGTTTCTCCGACCGATTAATGGTTTGCTGCTTGACTAGCCTAGGGAAATATTAATAAAGGTAAAGTAAACTTTTTTAATGACATATGGGGCACAAAATAACTGGTGTCTTGTAAATGTTCTGTTAAATATAAAACTTCTACTTAGTCTTTACTTTAAAAATATGTACTGTTTCTTTTTTGTTTTTGTTTTTGTTTCTTGTTTGTTTTTTTTCCTTTTGTACTGAGCTCAATATAGACTAATACTACTTTAATGTTAAAAATCTGAATTTCCTCTAGCATTTTGCTTACAAGCAATATGCTATTTGTTTATTTCGTGCCCTGACATAATTTTTGAATTCTGATAGAATACAAGTGTGGTATATGCCATGTTTGTACTTTATCTAACAACTTCTCTTTCAGTAGTCTTGTTTTTATACCATGTGGTTGTTTGTGTGTCACTTTTCCTTTTCTTTGCTTGACACAATTGTCTTATGTTAAGGATCTCAAAGATTTCATGAGACAAGCTGGGGAAGTAACCTTTGCGGATGCACATCGACCTAAATTAAATGAAGGGTGAGTATGTACTAGAGATTTTGAAAGTCTTTTGAAATATCCTGAAAATTTTTACTGTGAACATGTTTGAGAACTTATATAATTTGTTCATGCTCTATTCTGATGGTTCTCCATCTGGGGCAGTTTTGCTTCCCAGGGGATAATTTCTGGAGACAGGTTTGGTTGTCACAACTGGTTGAGGGTGCTAAAGACCTCTAAACTGTAGAGGACAGGCATGCTGCGAAACATGCTATAGCAAAGAATTTTCTGGCTCAGAATGTCAGCAATGCCAAAGTTTTGCTACGCTATTGTCTGTCAGAAATTAGACCTAGGGGCTGGGATTGTGGCTTAGCAGTAGAGTGCACGCCAAGCACATGCAATACCCTGGAATAAAGATATTGTGTCCAACTACAACTAAAAAGTAAATATTAAAAAAAAAAAAAAAAAAAAAAGACCTAACATAGGAAGAGCAAAGTGTAACAGAGCAACTACTACTTACCTAGATTGCTATATATAGTGCATGCGGCTGTGGGGGATATGTGTCTTTTTTAAGATTTTTTTTCTTCATTTTAGGGTGGTTGAATTTGCCTCTTATGGTGATTTAAAGAATGCTATTGAAAAACTTTCTGGAAAGGAAATAAATGGGAGAAAAATCAAATTAATTGAAGGCAGCAAAAGGCACAGGTATCTTTAATATTTTTAAGTCATAAAGTTTTACTTAATGGGTTTGTTAGGGTGTGTCATGAAGGCTCATTCCCCACTTTCTTTCCCCTTTCTCGCACTTTTCATAGTAGGTCAAGAAGCAGGTCTCGATCAAGGACCAGGAGTTCCTCTAGGTCACGGAGCCGATCTCGTTCCCGTAGTCGCAAGTCTTACAGCCGGTCAAGAAGCAGGAGCCGGAGCAGGAGCAAGTCCCGTTCAGTTAGTAGGTCTCCTGTGCCTGAGAAGAGCCAGAAACGTGGTTCTTCAAGTAGATCTAAGTCTCCAGCATCTGTGGATCGCCAGAGGTCCCGGTCCAGGTCCAGGTCCAGATCAGTTGACAGTGGCAATTAAACTGTAAATAACTTGCCCTGGGGGCCTTTTTTTAAAAACAAACAAACAAAAAAAAAAACAAATTCCCAAACCATACTTGCTAAAAATTCTGGTAAGTATGTGCTTTTCTGTGGGGGTGGGATTTGGAGGGGGGTTGGGCTGGGCTGGATATCTTTGTAGATGTGGACCACCAAGGGGTTGTTGAAAACTAATTGTATTAAATGTCTTTTGATAAGCCTTCTGCTCACATTTTTGTGAATGTCTGAAGTATATAGTTTGTGTATATTGACAGAGCTCTTTTATAACTAAAGCAAATTTAATTTTTTTGTACTAGAAAAATTGAACATTTTAGTTCTTGGGTTATTCAAATATGTTAATTCAGAATTAGTTTAATGCCTCAATTAAACTAATTAATAGCTTTGGACACTTAAAAGAGCTCTAAATTTGCTTGTATATAAAGGCTTAATTTGAGTTTTCCTTGTTAGGGTCAAGGGTGTCCTCCCATCCACCCCATTAACAGCTGCAGGACACAGACACATTAAAGCAGCTGTTTGTTATTGATAATAAAATATTATAAAACACTTTTTGTCTTGTTTGTCTGAAGAAGTCCTATATTACTTGATTTTTCCACTCTTTTCTATGTGTAATATGTTTTAAGACATAACACATTTAGAATCCTGGAGTAGTTTAGTATGGGGTTTTTTAATAATATTTTTAAACATTTCCAGGCTAGTTTAAAAAGTCGAAGTCAATGAACTATTTAAATAATGGCTAAAAAGTGATTTGACAGTTAATCTTGTGTCTATTCCTTCATACTTTTCCTTTGTTGCTTGACTATTTGCATTTGTTTCTTATGCTAACAGTTTTACGAGGATAATGCATTTGGGAAGCAAATTATAAAATCCCATGCCTGCCTTAAAGGTTTTAGTGCATAGGGATGGTCAGAGATGATAGAAAGCTTATCAGTCAACATGAACATCCTGTTATTTTTAGTTCTGAAACATTGCTGTACATGTGTAGGGGGAATCAATAGTGAAAACTGCTTAAAGGCCAACATCACATCTATTTTAAAATGTTGGGCACTTTACCTGAACCTTCAGACTCCTAAGTATAGGAAATGAGCTTTATTCTAGTATTGTCAAAGATTTAGTTTTAAGGTTTTTGGGTGCTAGGCTAGACACATTTGGGAACACAGAAAAACATCTACTTAACTACAGTAGTTAGTGCTTACCAATGTATTCACTGAATCTTAAGATTATAATACCACTCTATCAGGAAATTAAGGAACTTTGTCAACTTATCCAAGTAAGTGGTGGTGAAATTAAAATCTAGGAAGTCTGGTTTCAGGGACTTCAGAATTTCCTGTTATTTCCTGCCCTTTTCTTTCAGGAAGGTGGAATTAGAAGTAGCAGAGAAAAAAATCAGACTTTGGTATCCCCAGATGTTGGAAGTCAGGAAGTAGGAATCTACTTTGGGGAATAGGTGTGAAAAGTTTGGTACCCTTCTCTTCTGGGTTTTAAGACTGGAACATTGAGATATGAAAATAATGTTAATTCTTTTAGTAGGCTGAGTCTGGGAAAACATTTGAGGGAACTGGAGTGGAAGCTAAAATTTTGATTTCTGTATACAATTGCAGCCTGAAGTAATATCAGTTCCTCCCTTGGATTCTTCAGATGTACTTAGGCATTATGGTTAAATGTAATTGGATATTACATGTGTCCCCTCCCACACAGAGAATTAGAAAGTAGAGGCTTGCTACTTTTAATCTTTACAAGTGTTTGAGAGGGAATAAAATCTGATTTTAAAATTGCAGGTAACTGGGTTATTTATGTTCCAAAAAGGGAATTTGAATTTTAAGATTTATGACTTGAGAAGTCATAAGCAGAGTGAATGTAATGCTAAAAACAGTTTCAGAATCGGCTTTTATGTGAGGCATGATATTACCTTAGTTTTTTGTGTTTATATTTCTGATCTAATTCTCTAAGAGTAATTTGAGGATAATACATTTTAAGTTCAACCTTAATCTTTCTTAAAAGCTAAACATAACTTCTTGTTTCATTTCTTTGTTCTGGGTAGCTGTGTGTCCTAGGAGATGTAATCAGCTAGATATAGGTGAGCCACTGAGCTCCAGCCTATTGGTTATTAATCTTAATGCTTGTTTTCATTTAATACCCCAAAAGCTTAAGTTTCTTTAGAAAAAATTTTGAGTATTTCAAATTTTTCTTCCAATTGGGAAACCATTCTGACAGTAGTTCACAGTGTACCTCCAATGTAGGGGGTTACTTTATTCCACTGATGTGTTATAAGCTGATGGAATAGATTGTTAATGAAGTTCTCTGTTTTTTGACTTCACCTTGTTACAGCTTCTCACTACTGGTGGTCTTCAGATACCCTTCAAATATCCACATTTCATTGTGAGTGTGAATGCTATTTTGAGTTTGCTTTGTTTTGCATTTTATGTCCACTTTTCCATGCTTGGTGTCACAACCATTCTCACGAAATATAATCCAAATAATATCAAAGAGAAAGGAAATATGATCTTTTATTAGAACTTTTGTAATGTGCTAATTCTGCAGTGTTCTTGAGCATTTATTTCCTTTTGGGTCAAAGAACTTGGAGATTTGAGTATTTGATTAATGGGTAAAACATGCCATTATTGATTAGCCCAGAAATGGAGTTTTATATGCTAATTAGGCACTCTTCAGAGGTCTAGGGCAAAAGGCAGATTATTTTTTGCCTTCATAGAGTTTATAGTCACTGAATAAGTCTTATTTTTTTAACCAGTACAAGCAGGGGATAGGCGAGTCTTCCTTTGTCCTGCAGACCAACCCTTGATTCTGCTGAGGTGAATCTTCTCTTTGTAAGAATTGAGGTGGTTTGGAAGTGGTAGAGAAAGACAAGCCTGGTGTTTGTTTTGTTTTTGCTGCCCTGTAGTTGAGCACACTGGCTTTCTCAGTTGCCATCTGCCCAGAATCCAGGCTGCTGTCGGAAGGGCTAGGCTGTGCAAGGGGAGCACTCTTCCCCTTTGTGGACGCCATTTTCCTGAGCTCTCGAAATTGCATCTTTTGTGGCAGCTGTATAGATCATTTTTGTTTTCTCTGTAAAATCAAAAAGGGTTTAAGGGATGGTTGGGAGTACAATATTAATAATAAACGTTCATTTTGGAAAATAATACTTAGTACTGCTAGAGTTTATATGTTTATAATCTCTTTAATATGACCTCTCATGATTCAAACTCTGAGGAAAGATTAGCTTTTCCCTCAGTCTTCCTAATGGTGGTAAGTACTTACTCTAGTAATGGAATATCAAGATTTCATTTCTTCACCTCTAGCAACTTTGAACATAAAATAACAGGGGAGGTGGGTTTATTATGTCAGCAAGAATGGTTTGCATTCTGGAGGTAACAGGGCAGGGAAGAAGAGCTTTAGGGAAATCTGACGAGGTCTTTTGTCTCATTACTATTAAGGGTATAGGGTTCAATAACAAGCCTTTTTGTGACAGATTATTTACTCTGAGAAGAGCTGCTTGAGACCATTAGCTCCAAAGAGAAAGTACCACTGGGGTCATCTTCCAAGGAATACTGTGAGGAAGTTTCTTGAATATTAAGTCTTAAGTTCATTCATATAGTTGGTTTTTTTGTTGTTGTTGTTGTTTTTTTTTTTTTTTTTTTTGGTACTTGGGATTGAATTCTGGGGCACTTGACCGCTGAGCCACATACCCAGACCTATTTTGTATTTGACAGGGTCTCAATTGTGTCTTGCCTCTCTGGCTTTGAACTCAATCCTCTTGCCTCAGCCTGAAGCTGCTGAGATTACAGGCGTGTACCACCACGCCTGGCTCTCCCATACATTTTTTGGCAAGGTGGTTATCTTATTGGGCAAAAATCTTGAGTTGTCAAACTTAAGATTGTTTTTCTACAACTCCACAGTAGTTTTGAACCAGTGCTGATAAATGGTTCTGTGGTATGGTCAGCCCCCCCCCCCCCCTTTTTTGGCTGTTTGAAAACAAAGATTATATCTTAAGCTAATTGCAAAGGGAGAGAATCTGCATTTGCTAGTATATAATATGAATTTTACCAGGGAAAGTTGAGTACTCTCCTCAGGTACCAAACCCCACGGCAAGAAAAATTTTTGAGAGAAATGAGGCAGGAGAATGAATTGGGTAAGTTATTGGAAAAAAGTATAGTGATGTTTAGGGTAAAATAAATGAGATGTGTTATAAAGCAAGGCTGAGTTTTCTGCTTTAAAGATATTTGTAGGCCAGGATTCTAGCTCAATTTTAGAAGTTTGTAATTAGAACCTGGGTAGTCCCTAGCATGGGAGTGGGGTGGCATTTAGGATTAAAATGCACTCCAGGAAGAGATTCTGGGATTTTATTTTTTTGGAGGTAGTGCTCTGAACAGGTGCCATGTTATCCAGTAGTGATCAGGTTAAAGTATAAATCGTATTAAGTTTATTGTGATGGTTACTGTTTAACAGGCTTGCACTTACTGTGTAACCAGAGTTGATGGGTTCTGGATATAAGGGCTGCATTGCTTTAATGTGTTTTTCCCACATGGGGGTACCAGTGGTACAAAGGGTTCTGGTCCCAGGACCTTGAAAACTCAATCCAAAAAAAATACTGAAACTTCTTGAATTCTTGAAATAGACCTTTTACCAAATTATATCTTACAACTATCTCTGTCCAAAGCAGTTCTGTCCTATTTTCTCATACTGAGAAATGGTCTCCCTGCTTAGATAAAGCAGCCCATGTTGCACATCCAGTTTGGTTTTTCCAGCTAGAAGGCAGGCAGAGCATGCAGTTAATGGAAGCTACGTTGGCTCCTAAAAGTTGCTGCTAGAAATGTGTTGAAGTCTCTGTTCCTATATAGGAGCAGAGCTTGATGGGGGTTGATACTCACCCTTGGGAGGGTTGAATTTTTTGTAGCACCGGAAGACAATAATGAAGAGAAGCCCTTCACCAAGCTGGAAAATCATGTAGAGGAGAGGAAAGAAGAAAAGTGGCCCAATGACTTCAGGGGGAAAGGTCACGTTGAGGATGGTGGAACAGAGTTGAATGTTTTGGAATCCTGTCTCCATGCTGATGGTGCGTCTGCACCTATGAAGGAGAAGAAGACAAAACAACTGTATACACTCATAAGGGACATGAGGGCATGACTTCGGTTGTTCTCCCCCATTCCCAGATAACTGGGACCCTTTGCAATCTGATGGAAATCAGATATGTAGGGTGCATATTGGTTTAAGAAAAATCAAATTGATGTGTCTGACCCAACCTGTGGAGGATGGTGCCTAGAAGATTCATTTAAGTTTTTAAGTACACATTGAAGTCTGCTTTTGCAGGATTGCCAAATTTAAGTTTGGAGAAATCGTCTTGCTGGTGAGGGATGAGAGGAAGTTTTGAGTTGGTATCATTCACTGGCTTGTTAGGTCAAATCTATAGGTCAATTACATTTTCAACAGGTCATGGAAGAGTTTGTCTGAAATGCCCTGAGTTTTGCCTGGTTCCCAAGTTTGTGGCTTAGCATCTTTAAAACAAATACTCTAACTCAGGAAGATATTTTTCCAGTTTTGCTTTCCATTTTACAGGTTAGAGAATGGATGTTTACATATAATGAATACACATTCAATTTTATTGAATTCCAAGTGTTTTAAAATAGTCATAAAATAAAAGCACATTTTTTTTTAAATGAGGGAGGCTACTGTGATGACATTTTAGTATGTGGCCATTTACTGTGATCTGCATTGAGAAAATTTATGTCACTGGTTATTGATGGCCTTTTGGTTTGTGTTACATCTATAGTGATTTGTTAGTACAGCTTTTTAAATGGATAATTATTTTTTAATATTTACTTTTTAGTTGTAGTTGGACACAATACCTTTATTTTGTTTATGTGGTGCTGAGAATCAAACCCAGGCCCTTGCATGTGCTAGGTGAGCGCTCTACTGATGAGCCACAACCCCAGATCCTGGGTATTTTTTAAATTCTATTTATAATTTTTTTGTGTGTATGTTGGGGTATGTGCGCTAGTAATGATTACATTCCTTCATAAGCATTTGTTCCCAGGGCTAAAATGAGGGAAAGTCACTGTAATATGTTGAATTGGGTGTCCTTGTTCCCAGTTACCCCAGGCCATTACTGTCTAGGGAAGTCAGTAAGAGGTGGAATCTAGACTCTGGAGAGAGGGGCACTCAGCCATTAGGTGTTGCTGTTTGGATGATAGATGCATTTGGTGTCTGGGTTTAACTTAGGCCTCTAACCCATTCAGTAATTCTCCTGTTTGATACTTGTTTCTCAGTCCAGGGCTCTGTTCCTTTGGTGCCTTTGAACATACAGCTAGGAAAATTCTTTTCCCAGATCCTTTCTTTGTACCAGGGATTGAACCCAGGGGCTCTAATACCTACCTTGCTTTGAGACAGAAGAGAGCAGAAAGAATGTAGCCTAGCAGGAAGCCAATAAAAGGCATCAGGGAGGAGACTGTCAGCAGGTGTGGTGTCATGGCATACATGATGCTCTTCCCTGTGTTGATGATGGAGAGGGCTGTGACTGCCACGCTGAATAAGAGAGTGATTATCATCCCTCCCTGGACAGAGGACAAGAAAAAAAGTCATTGTGGGAGATAAGGATGGGGATTAGGAATGAAAAAGCATTTTTTACTAGAATATTGATATTTGAAGTGGAAAGGGAATATGAAAGATCTGTTTATTTTTAGACTTAACAATAGTTTGGATACTTGGAAAACAGAAACTTGACTAATAACTCTAAAACTCAGCTACAAATCTTTTTTTGACCCAGCTCTGGATGGCAGGTTTTCAATGAATGGCTGTAGTTTTAAGTACTTTTCAGGTCTCCTATAAAGTGGGTGGAGGGCCCACAGCTGTTACTTCCAAGATTCCTCTGAGGGCAAGTGATATGTGATCTGTGACCATAGTACTGCTATAAATTCTCTGAGGTTTTACTCACTTCACTCTTCATCTATCGTATTCCTGAAATGCTGGGAGTACATACACCACCACCTTTCCCCAGACTCCCTTTGGCTTCTTAAGTCAGTCAAGTTGGCCTTAGTGCCTTCTGAACTCTTACTCAGAGTTCTCCCAATCTTAGCTAAATCCTACTCTTCTTTATGGTCTGGCTAAAGCCCCTCTTCTCCAAGATGCCCCTATGAGCACTCCAGCTCTGAAAAATAATATCTCCTTACATTCTTCCAGTACCTGTTCTTATGCAGTTGTTGAGTTTTTTTTAATATTTTAATTTTTAGTTGTAGTTTGAAACAATACCCTTATTTTATTTATTTTTATGTGGTGCCGAGGATTGAACCCAGGGTCTCACACGTGCTAGGTGAGTGCTCTACCGCCGAGCCACAACCTTAGCCTGAATTTTTTTTTTTTAAACATTTTTCAGTTGTAGGTGAACACAATATATTTTATTTTTAATGTGGTGTTGAGGATCAAACCCAGTGCCTCACACATGCTAGGCAAGCACTATATCTGAGCCACAACCCCAGCCCCCATTTGTTGAATCTTATTTCTCTTGTGTTACTTTGTACAAATATCAAATTATGAAGACTGTCTTCAGAATATGCAGCATAAACTAGCATCTAGTAGTAAGAGGAGCATAATGTAAATATTATTAAAATAATGGTTATACGTTATACTTTTTTTTTTTTTTGGTCTTCTAACTTAAAAGTATTCTTGGGTACCTTACGATCCCATGAAATAAGAGTACCAAGCTTTTTTTTTTTTCCCCACCCCTTTTTTGTGTACCAGGGATTGAACCCACGGGTACTTAGTGACTGAGCGGCATCCCCACCCTTTTTAATTTTTTGAGATAGTCTTGCTAAGTTGCTCAGGCTGGCCTTGAACTTGCAATCTTCTTGCCTCAGCCTCCCAAGCCACTGGGATAACAGGTGTGTGCCACTACACCTGGTTCCACCCCCTTACCCTGCTTTTTATAAGGAAACTCCTTGTTTGCATGAGTCTCTCTCAAGTCCATGCGTGAAAAGCTCGGTCCCTAGGATGGTACAAATGGGAAGTGCTGTGGACATATAGGAAGTAGGGCATTATGGGAGATCCTTAGGTCATTGTGAATATACTCTTGAAGGGGACTGGAAACCTGGTCCATGTTTATGTGTGTTCTCTTTTCCACACCCACATTCTTCCTGTCACAAAATGTAAGCACTTGCTCCAACATTACTCATGCCATGACAAGCCACCCTCACTGGAGGACAGGGGCTACCTGATCTTGGACTTGAGCCGATAGAACTGTGACCCGAAATAAACTGCTTTACTCCATAAGTAGCTTTGTGTGGTGGTGTTTCCTTCCCATGTTGTCCCACATTCTTACCTTCATAATGTAAGGTACATATTTTGGCCGTTTAGATTTGAGGATGATTCCTATGGTGCAAGGGATGAGAACCATGACCAATGATATCATAATGCCCTTATAGGGCACCTTATCCTCCAGGCTGCCATCATAGATCCCTTTGGAGTAGATATACAAGAGGAGAGGCATCATTCCCAGGGCAAAGAAGGTGGAGCAGGTGGTCATCACGATGCTGGGTGGAAGAGATGAAAAGAATCTGTTAACAGGCTTGTAGAATGTTGGCTATGTGCTCGGCACTATGCTAAGTGCTTTACAGTTCATTTCCTTAAGCAGTAAGCATACTATCTCTTTTTGGCTTTTAGGGAACCTGATGACTAGGAAAAAAATTGTGACTTGCCTCAACTCAAATAGTGACAGAATTTGAATCCAGACCCATGCAACTACATAGTCCTATGTGCTTCACTGAGAAAGGGGTCATACCAATCCTATCTATAATAGGAATTCTTGCTTTGAGCATCCACCATATGCACAACCCATTTTGAATATAGCTGATTTCCATCACCCTGACTAGCATATAGGATCATGGAGTAGCAATCTGGTACAGTTGCTATAGGCTTAGAGCTAGGGAATAGCTGGATAAGAGTAGCTTTGTCCAACAGAAAATATGTATCAACAAGTGCACTTTACCTGTTGGGGAAAGTGAGACAGTGGTCTTTGGGAATAGGTGGCATGGGAGTAGAGGCAAAAAAAAAAAAAAAGCACTTAGTATATATATATATGATTAGAAGGCTATAAGAAATAGAAGCAAATCAGAAACAATAATTTGAAGGTCTATACTAGTGGAGCAAGAGAAGAGGCCCCCATCACTCAGATTAAAAAGAATTTCATAGATGCAGAGCTAACAACAAAATTCAGTGTTTTAAAAAAATTTATTATACTAGCAACAAGGGAAATTCCCAATTCTATATAAACATTAAACTTGATGGTGAAATAAGGACTTAATATCACAAAAAGGAAAAAAGCAACAGTATTATCATTTTTTAAATTATACTATATATAGACCCTCTCTGGCACAGCAAAACAAATAGAATAAATAGGGATGGGGAAAGAAGAAACAAAACTTTTATTAATATTTTGTCAATAACAGGATTATTCATAGAGAAAAATTTCCATTGTAACAAGAGAATCCACAGGTTCTAAATACATTCATAATGTTAAAAAATGGGACCCAAGATACTAATAACAAATAGGTAATTTTTTAAAAATGCCATTAATCAAATGGAGTTCACATTACCTGTACTCTCCTATCACCAAGCTAATCTCATCAAAATTCTAAAATGTGCTGGCTTTTTCCCCATGTGATAGGACAGACAGCACTCCCATCCTAGGAAGGAATTGTTCAGCTGGTTACCCCTCTCAAAAGGAGTATCACTGTAATGTCCCAGCTACTTTTTAAAGATAAAACTGATATCCTACATGAGCAACAAAAGAGCCAGCCTACTTGAATGTTTATGTGCTATAATCAACATTAGCCTGACCAATAGTGGTCACTGAACAATCCACTAAAAATGGTAATAATTGTCAAGTACTGCTAAAATATTAACTATTGCTTTTCTAAGAAGAAAAGTCTCCCTTTTCTTTATTCTTTGGTATCTACAAACAGCATCAAGGCTAATGGTTTTCACTTAGTCCTCTTTACATTGCTGCCCTTATTCATCTTCTCCTCTATTTCTTTATAGTCTAGAGCGAAGATTCATTTTATTACTGCCCTTCCCCTATAAGATGTCTATTTCTGAGAAGTCTAGCTGTCACTCATTCTGCTGTGGCCTCACATGGCCAGGTCATGGCCCCAGGTATTCTGCTGAAGAGGTCCCAGCTAAAGGCCAAAGGCTTACAATGGCCAGCAAGGCCCTACCTGGTGTGCACCCCACACCCCACTTACTTCCCAATGGCACCTTCTATTCACTCCTCCTGCTCCAGGCTCCCTGGCCTCTTTGGGCTTCTCAAACAAGACCTTCAACCTCTTGTTTAAGACCATTAAACCTTTATTTTCCTTTGTCTGAAAATTTTCACCCCCTACAACCTAAGGCCAACTCTCTTACTCCTGGCAAGGCTTTGCCCAGACACTCTCAATGAAGCTCCCCCACCCCTAACCAAGCTTTTTAAAATTTCCACCACCCACACCCACACTTCTGATCCCTTTTACCTAACTCTATTTGTTCTTTCCCCATAGCACTCTTTGACTTCTATTTTACTTGTTTACTATGCTTATTGTTTATTTTCTGGTCTCTCTCCTCTATTATGTAAGCTCACAAGGGCTGGGCCTTGGTCTGTTGTTTATAGATGTATCCCCTAGAACAATTCCTGCCTCAAGGAATATTTGTTGTTTAATGACTATGAAAGTCAGGGCTTGGTTAGTTTTATGTTGATCCAAGTGACAGACTGAAGACCTCAGAAAGCCTTTAGGGCGAGGCAGGCGTGTGGGAGTAGATGGGCCACAGGTCCTGGACACTGGGGGAATATTTACCTGGGAGATGACTGAGGTGGGCATTGCTCCAGCCGAGACCCTGAAAATCCTACTGGTTGCTTTTTGTCTGAGATGGGCTTCATTATAGTATACTCTCTCAGTCTCCCCATTTTTCAACTACACTTTTCAACTGTTCACCCATTCTTTTCTCTCTCTTGCCTCAGCTTCTTCCCTGTTCTGGAACTCATTTCAAATTAGATCTACCAAATGTTAAAGCTGAAAGAAACCAAAGAAGACATTACTTACATGTTTAGTGTGGAACTAAAACTTGCTTTGGGGGACTTTTTCATCCCTGACCTTCTCACTGAACAAATACTATTACTAATAAAATTCCTCCAAGTACAAAAAAAAATGCCATTAATTATATTCACAAAAATGAAATACTTAGATCTAAAAGAGATGCAAGATCTATTTTTTTTTAATTTTAATATTTATTTTTTAGTTTTCAGTGGACACAACATCTTTTTTTTTTTTTTTAAAGATAGAGTGAGAGAGGGAGGGAGAGAGAGAGAGAGAGAATTTTTAATATTTATTTTTTAGTTTTCGGCGGACACAACATCCCCATTTGTATGTGGTGCTGAGGATCGAACCCGGGCCGCATGCATGCCAGGCGAGCGCGCTACCGCTTGAGCCACATCCCCAGCCCCAAGATCTATTTTTTTGAGATATAAGATCTTTATAGAAGAAATAAAACTTCATAGATATGAAAAAGACCTAAGGCAAAGAAAAGCTACACCATATTTGTTGTTGGGGAAGATTCAATATAAGGGGCTGAGGCTGTAACTCAGTGGTAAAGTGCTTGCCTCCTATGTGTGAGGCACTGGGTTCAATTCTCAGCACCACATAAAAATAAATAAAGATACTGTGTGTTCATCTATAACTAAAAAAAACATTTTAAAAAAGATTCAATATAAAAATGGATTCTAAATTTCTGTGTAAAGATAATGCAAATCAAAATTCACCCAATTTTATTTTTGAGGGGTTGGTACTGAGGATTGAACTCAGCCACTCTACCACTGAGCTATATTCCCAGTCCTTTTTCTAGGTTTACTTTTTAATTTGAGGCAGACAGGATATAAGTTATTGGGTTTGGCCTTAAACTTTCAATCCTACTGCCTCAGCCTCGCTAGTTGCTGGGATTACAGGATTGAGCCACCATGCCCAACTCAAGAAATTTTTTAGTAAACTTGAAAGCTGATTATAAAATTCAGGTGAAAACATAAAAGGCAGCTGGGTGCAGTGGTACACACCTAATCCCAGCAATTTAGGAGGCTGAGGCTCACAAGTTCAAGGCCACGAGGCCCTGTCTCAAAAAATAAAAAGGGTTAGGGATATGGCTCAGTGGTAAAATGTCCCTGGATTCAATCCCCAGTAAGGGGTTGGGGGGGTAAAAAGCTCAGAGTAGCAAGCATTTTTAAGAATAATGTATGGAGCTGCTGGGGTCGTAGCTCCGTGGTAGAATACTAGGCAAGCACTTGGGAGGGACTGGGTTTGATCTTCAGCACCACATAAAAATACAGTAAAAATGTATTGTGTCCATCTACATCTAAAAAATTTTTTAAAAAAGAATAGGCGGAAAACATTTGAGATATCAAGACAATTTGATTGTAATTAGGAAAATGTGGTAGTGAGGCAAGGCTAGCCATATTAACCAATAAGAGATTCCAAATACAAACTTATGATATGTAATAAGAGAGGTGGCATTATATCATTACTGGGAAAAAATTCAGTGGTGCTGGGAATTTATTCATGTGAAAAGATAGATCACATCACACATAAAAATAAATTCTAGGTTGATTGAAGATCTCTACATGAAAAGCAAAAATTGAAAACTTTTCAAAGAAATTTAGAGAAACTTTGTCACTTTGCAGATAGCATAGGCAGTTCCTTAAACTCAGAAATTTAAATGATCAAGAAAAAATAAAAATGGCAAATTTGACTAAGTTAGAGTAAGCAATCTTTTTAAGACATCAAGCCTCAAACAGTGAATAGACTTTCACCATATATAAATGACTTTGATAGTTTAAAAATACACTAAAACAATCCTATAGATAAACAAGCAAAGCCCATAACATTTCCAGAAGAGGTACACAAACGGCCAGTAAATACATGGAAAGCTGCCAGGTCTCCCATGAAATCAAATTTAAAATCACTGTGATCGATTTCATACTCCTCAGTTGGCAATACTTAAAACGTCTGATAATTCCAAACATAAAGATAGGAACAAACAGGGATCCTAATGAAGTACAAAGTGAAGCAATTACATTTGCTGTAGAATTGTGAGTCCTCAGCCCAGCAGCAGTCTAGCTTTTATTACATATCCTCTCACCTGGGAGCAAGGGACCATCCACAAGACTGTCCACCAAAGCAGTGGATGAAATCTGCAGACATGTCTGACTACAGAATGGATCAACTCAAGCAAATTTAAATGCAGTAGTTATTTTACATACATGCCTGTTTCTCAAAACAAGTTGTCAAATGATGACAGTTAATATAAAATTTAAAACATGCAAATACAGCAGTATGTTTTATTTATGGATATCTAACATGTGATAAAGATCCCAGGAAATGCAGAACACCAAATCCCAGCAGGTGTTTCCTTTGGAGAACAAGGGAATGAGATGGGGGAGGGACATGTGGGGACTTCAGTGCTGGCTTTTGATTTTTGTAAAAAAACAACTTGCAACTTGTGTGTTTGCTTTGCTGTCCTAGAGTAGAGAAGTCATGCTTACTTTGGCTTGGTGTGTCAGATTTTGAAGTTTGCTCTGGGACATGCTGTACCTTATCTCATGGCATCCTCTTCTCTTATTTCATGGTATGTGGGAGTCATGTTCCCAGACCCTGGGATACTTCATCCATGTGCACAGTGACTGGGGGCTAGTCAGAGACATCCATCTCCTAACCTGCTGATTTCTGTAACTGTTGTGATCCTCAATTTATCTTGAGGGACACGGTTGGGAGAGAACTTCCAGATTCTAGTTTCCACAATGATAACACTGTGGCCTGTCTGCCTCTTGGAGAAAAGGTACATTTGGTTTATCTTTTTCCTTTCTCCTTCCGCTCTCAGAGCACTGCATAGTCCCTGCTTTGGATATCTGTACACCATGTTTGAGAATCTGGTTTTGAGCACCTATCTATGGAGAGCTCAGAGGCAGAAGCTGAGGGAGATGTGAGGGGACCCACCAGTCCTATGGTGAAGAGGGAAACTTTCAGGAACCCCAGTGGCTTCCATCTTGTCCTGTTTAGTCTTTTACATTATGTGGGAATCCTTGGCTTGTGCCCAAGCCTGCTGTCCCACCGCCATTTGCTCTAGTTTCCACTGTGGGCCCTGTGGGATGAGGGAAGCAGTTGAGCTTGAGGGACAGCAAGGGCAAACAAAAGAGACCTGTTCCTGCTGACATTCTCTTCTCTGTTCTGCACAAACCAATGTCACTTCAACTTGGAGGGCATTTTCTCTTGCCTGTGTGACCTCCAGGAAGAATCTGTATCGAGGAATTCACCTGATGGCCTAAGTCTCTTGTGACAGCAGGCTGCTTCAGACTCACCCCAGCTGGAGGCAGAATAACCAGGAGAGAAACCTGGACTGGTTCTATATGCAACTTTTCACAATTTGGGGGAAACCTATGGCAGTTTTCCAGACTTCGGATTCCTCATGTGTAAACTGACTCTAAGTGGGACACAGTAATGTTGGGCTGAGTGAGTGCTCTCAAATTGGGCTTTGGAGCTACATTTGGTTCTTAGACATATATTGTTTAGTTTCAGACAAATTTGAATAAGTTGCTGATGTTTAAAAATTTGAAGATTCCACATAAAAATGGAGATTCTACCTTCTCTTGAAAAGCAGGAAGCTGTGACAGCAGTAGGTTCAGCTCCCACAGGCTTACATCAGAGCAGAGGGCCTGTGCCTTTGAGGCTGGCAGGCCATGAACCATCTTGTTTATGAACATGCTGACCTTGAAGATATTTGAGTCAAAACACAGGCCTTGGAGCCACCCAGACTTTCAATAAATGTTTTGTCCATAGGCCAGATCTAAGACTCAAGTTTCCTCATCTTTATATGTGGTTATTAGAGCAGCCCTACCCAGGCATTGAGCATATCATGTACTTATCCAGTGTCTAGTGCAGATTTTTATTTTATTCTTAATATCATTGTCATTATAATACATGTAACAATATGTCCTGGATGAACTCAAATTGAAATTTGAAGTCTGGCAGCAAGTAATGGCAGATGGCAATATTCATGCTCCACCAGTGGGGTCTAAGGCATGGTTTAATGAGCATGTGAGGTTTGTTTATGGACAAGGGACTTTATGACAGAAGGTGGCAGTCCCAGAGGAGTGTTATCTCTCCTGGGGTCTAGGGAGAAGTGACAGTCTCAGGTGCCTGGGCAAGGAGGCTGAGCAGGAAAGCAGATGGGGTCATGTTCTTGAGTCACTAGAGGCTTGTCGTGGTAGAGGTCTCAAACCACAGAAGTGCAGGTATTGGTGGAAGGCCTCATTAGCATGGTTGATGAGGCTGGGACATCTGGTCACTTACATTTTTAAAAACTTGTCCATTGTCCTTCACACTGTCACCTCTGCTTTGCTTCTCCCACAGACACATCAATCCCTCTGAGCAGCTTTCCCTGACATCTGATTTTTGCATTCTTTTTAAAGTACTTAAGGTATAATAGTCTGGGTTTCTTGGAACACAGATGCTGCAGCAAGTTTTGTTCATAGGCCAGATCAAAGACCCATCAGCTTGTTTTGCTGCAGGAAGGTTTGCATTAGGCAGAGGGAAGAAATTTTCTCATAGTGAGGTTGTTGAACATCAAAATATATTCCCAAGGGATCCTGTACAAGCTGAATTCCTAGTCTCTCTCTCCCTATCCACTACCTCAGGGAAGGTTGAATCTTGTGGTAGAGAGCCTGGGGCTTCTCAGAGTGCAGGTCTTGGTAAACCCCAACTCTTGCTCTAGGCTTTTTCATTTAAAAATCTGTCCCAAAGAGGGCTGGGGGTGTAGATCAGTGGTAGAGCACTTGCCTAGCATACCCAAAGCCCCAGCACTGCTAAAATTAAATAAATAATAATTTAAAAATCTGTCCCATAGACCGAGGGGACATAGTTCAGTTGGTAGGGTACTTGCCTACCACGTGAACAGCCCTGGGTTTGATTTCCAGCACAGCAGCAACAATAAAAATTCAAAAATCCAACTGTCACAGTGTCACTTTGCACTACCTGGAGGGAATTTTTTTACTTGGTTAGTTTTTTTTTGTTTTTGGTAGTGAGGACTGAACCCAGGGCTTTGCATACACTCAGCAAGAACTCTACCACTGAGCTATACCCCAGTCCAACTTGGTTAGTTTTCTTAGTAAAGTTCAGCTGAGGGGAGGGTGCTCACAGACACAAGCAGGTGGACTTTGTCTGGCATTGGATAATGTCTCCACTGAAGACTGAATCAGAGGAAATTGGCTTGAGACTCAGACTTAGATAAAAGAGAGAGAGCTTCTGCTGATGAGCTTTGTTGACCCAGCACAGTTTTGTGGTCTGAGATAGCCTCCTCTGGAAGGTGCATAAGGCTAGAGTCTCACCTGTTTGGAAGGACAGGTACTCCCAGCCCCCTTGTGCCTTCTAAGAGAGGGCTCCTGCTGACTTCTGTTCAGTCTGCTTTGGGCCACAAATGCTGCTTGTCTTCCCCTACCAGTGAGGCTGAGGTGGGGCCTGCCATAACCTGGGCAGGCTTGGGGAAGTCACATTCTACCATACCTGGTTGTGCCTTTGCCTGGAAGTGTCGATGCATCTGATAGGGAGATGAGGGATTCCATTCTTTCCTTCCTTCCTTCTTTCCTTCCTCCCTCCCCTCTTCCTTCCCTCCCTCCCTCCCTCCTTTCTTTCTTTCTTGTGTTGGTACTGGGGATTGAACCCAGAGGTGCTCTCCCACTGAGCTACATCCCCAGTCCTTCTATTTGTTTTTATTTGAGACAGGGTCTGAAGTTGGCCTTGAACTTGATCCTCCTGACTCAGCCTCTGGAGTTCTGACATTACAGGTGTGTCTCCCCATGCTTGGCTTCTGGGTTGATGGATCTTTAAAAGAAGATATCTCAGATGCTCAGACACTTGGAAACACCTTTGGAATTCTTGTCTGCTCTACAGGAATTTGAGGTGCTTATTTGGTTCCAAGTCACCTTGAAATCCCTGGCAATATTTGGAACCCATCATACCTCCTTTCAGATCTTCTGTTTCAGAGTCGACAACACCCCCTCACACCCAGTTAGGTTGGTACAGTTCTACAGAGGCTCTTTGGTAGAAATCAGTGCTCCTTTAAGACAATCCTTGTGTCCCACTTGAGATACCTCTGGGAGTGCAGAGGTCTCAGAATAATCCTCGACCAGCTGGCCCCTTTGGCCTGGTGCTTAAACCAAGGTGGTCCCCAGTCCCTTCCCCGAACCCTGCATAAGCTCTTGGCAATAAATACCATGACCCTCCCCCCAACATCCACAGCCCCCACTTCTTCCCTTCCTGGCTTTACCCAGCTCTTCCCCTTGATTGTGACATTCCTACAGTGGCCCCGTTCCATGATGCTCCCACTTTAGCCCTAGTCCTACCTGAGGTTCATGTCCCCCTTCACAGCCAGACTGAAGATGTTGGACAGGTTCCCTCCAGGTGAGCAGCCACAAATCAGGATTGCCAGTGCCTCAATGTTGTTCAACTGGAAGACCTTCCCCAGCACAAAAGCAGTAAGGGGCATAATGCCATACTGGGCCACCATGGCAATGGCCAGCCCCTTAGGCTTCAACAAGTGAGCCTTGATCTTGCTGAACTCCATGGTGCAGCCCAGAGAGAGCATAATGATGAGCAGCATGAACACCAGGATGATGCTCAGTGCCAGGTCCGTGGGGCGCTTGCCGAAGTTAGGTGGCAGGGAGAAGTTGAAGGGAACAGACACGTTGTACACCTCCATCCTTCTGGGAGGCAGCGGAAGACTACCCTTGTTCCACTGATGCCTCCCTTCCTTGTTCAGTCCTTGCTGGATGCCTTCTTTAATCCCCTCTCAGGACAGAGTTTCTGAACAAAATATAGCTCTGGGCAAATAGAAAGATGATGCAACTAGTGGATCAGATTCCTGGTAGTGGCCTTAAAGGGAAGAGAGCCCAGCCTTTTCTGCCTGGCTTTCCCTACTGTCCGAGTGCTCTGATCTCTGCAGCTTTCTGGGTGCCACTCACACACCTCCCTTACCACTTGGCCGCTGCTGGATCGAGGGCTTTTTTCCTCTCCTTTGCCCTCCACTGAGCATGGCTTGCTACTATCCTGTCCCTGGGGACCAGTCCTGGACCAGCGCCCACCCAAGCCTAGCCCTTTGCCTTCCCTGTGCTCCTGGTTCCAGCTTAATCGGTTGAGGAAGGTACCCTCCCCATGCCCAGCAGGTTGCCATTTGTTGTGTTGCCTTTGGTTCCTGGATGGAGATGGTATAGCCTAAGGGGCTGTAGGACAGGGTAGGGGCAGGTGGTGGTATTACTGGCCTCCAGGACAGGATGTAACCATGACCCTCCTCTTGGCAGACAAGAATATTGTGTCCTTCTTGCCTGTGTCTTATCCCCAAACCTGGACTTGTGGGTCCCAAGGGGCACGTTGGCATCCCCTGCGAAGCAATGCTTACTTCTGGAGGAAAGAACTTGCTTCGGATGGTGCTGGCTCTTGGAAGCTTGGAGGCTCTTTCCCCAAAGGGAAAGCTCCCTGGCTTCAGAGACTAGTCTGTGTCTGAGGAGCCCCATTGCTTGGGAAACTTGCTGAGAAAAAAAGCAAGAGTACACAGCCTTTTCTTTCTGATTTCCTGAGGCTTTGCTTTTGCACTGGGTCTGTGTGTCTCAGCACACAGCGGCAGAGAGAGGCAGGCACCAATGTCCTGAGCCTCACATCTTCCTTCCGTCCTTGCTGAAGGGGTGAGACAGGTTTCATATCTACTGCATCACGTCCACGAGGAGGCTGCTTGAAGCTGTGCAGTGCTCAGAATGTATACTGAGACCAAGGGTGTCATGCTCTTGAAGCCCCTTTCCCTCTTAGAGACGCTCATATTAATGATTTCCTGGTGCTAGAGTTGAACTGATCTCAAGGGGAAGGAAGGCAGAGGAATGTGTGGTGCCTGGAAGGCAGGTGGGGGGAACCCAAAGTAGGCTGCTTTCTTCTCCTGGAGAGGAGAACTGCCTGTCCCCTCAGAGCTGCCTGGGGAGAATATCAGTTGAGTGCTGGAACTGTGGGAGGGTAAAAACCTTGTAATCCATTATAAAAACCCTTGGGGACCTTATGGTCCACATGAAGCCACCTGGGGACAGAGGATACACATGCAAAGCAGACATTCATGAGGGTGGGGCCACATGGGGCTGCCATATGCAGTTGTACAGGCTTTGACAGCCCAGTGCAGGGCTTAGCATTTACACAGACATTCTGTTCAACCTACATGGGGCCCTGAGGCCGAAGAAAGACAATTTTCACATATCTGTCTGATGCCCAAGGGGACAAGGAATGATCCATCAACCTTGGGATATGTCTACTGATCATATTGTTCATATAAATAGAGCAGGGATCCCATAATATATCCATAAACTGGATTCTAAGCTATCTAGTATCCACCAACAGTTCCTCTTCGCCTTTTCTCAGAATCACAAAATTTTCCTATGTCTTGCTGTGACCTTTGCCCTTTGGGAAACACCATCTTTCCCTGGTTACCCCTCTTTCTATTCCTCTCCTACCAATTCTGTTCCTAGCAATGTGCCTTTGTAGAGAACGGAAAAATCTCTTCTAAAGAGCTGATGACATCCATTCTTTTCTGTACCTACTCTGATTTCATAAAAATTTAGGGGATAAGGGGATCTCTTGTGTATTATTTATACATACACAGGCTCTGTGACTTCATTTCTTATTTAGTCCTCAGAAAAATGTTGTGAAACAGTTACTACGACTAGTCTTATTTTATAGATGAGGAGGAAGGAAAAGGCTCAGAGATATTACATTTTAAAAATTGTTTTAATTTTTAATTTTTGGTATGAGGGATTGAACTCAGGGGCACTTAACCACTGGGCTACAACCCCAGCCTTTTTAAAAAAAATTTTTTTTCTTTTTTGCAGTTGTAGATAGATACAATACCTTTACTTTATTTATTTATCTTTATGTGGTGCTGAGGATCAAACCCAGGGCCTTACACAGACTAGGCAAGCGCTCTACCACTGAGCCACAACCTTAGCTCCTCCAGCCCTATTTTGTATTTTATTTAGAGATAGGTTCTCACTGTGTTGTTGAGTGCCTTGCTAAGTTGCTGAGGGTGGATTTGAACCCACAATCCTCCTGCCTCAGCCTCCTGAGCTGCTGCAATTACAGGTATGTGCCACCACACCCTGTACAGAGACATTATTTAATTGCCCCAATTCATACAACTGGGTGGTAGACCTGGTATTCATACCCTGGCTCCATGCCCCACTTCCACCTCATCTTATCTTCCTAGTTACCTAGGGTTTTTTTTTTTTTTTGATAGCAGGGGTGGAACCCAGGGGCACTTAACCACTGAGACACATCCCCGGTTCTCATTCTCTCTCTCTCACTTTCTCTCTCTCTCTCTCTCTTTTAATATTTTTTAGTTGTAGTTGGGCACATTATTTATTTATTTTTATGTTGTATTGAAGATTAAACCCAGGGCCTCGCACATGCTAGGCAAGTGCTCTATCACTGAGCCACAACCCCAGTCCCCCAGTTCTTTTTTTATTTTTATCTTGAGACAGGGTCTCGCTAAGTTGCTCAGTGCCTTGCTAAGTTGCTAAGGCTGGATTTGAACATGTGATCCTCCTGCCTTATCCTCCCAAGTCACTAAGATTACAAATGTATGCCCCCTATGCCAGGCAGTTACCTTGCTTTTTGAGATCTGAGAATTTGAATGGAAAAGTCTCTCTGATTACATATTTGTTCCATTTAAGCCTCAACTGCTTCTTTTAAGCAACATGTCACCAAACAATTTCATGGGGTAGTAGTAGCCGAGTGAATTTACTATAGTGGCTTGAGCTTCAGCTTTGGCCAAATGGAAACACTTCCCCATATCTTGCAGCCACCATGATGTTGATGCCCAAGAAGAACTGAGCCACCATTTCTGAACCCCCTTTTAAGGAGCGGGTGATGGTAGCCAAAAAGGATGTCCATGTTCTGATGCACCTGGAGCTATCAGACAGGAATGTGCCTAGCCTTCATTCATGAAGACCACACAGTCTATCCGGTCTCAAGGCTACTTAAGGAACAGTTTGCTGGAGACCTTTCTACTGGTACTTTACCAGAGAGGCATCATGTATGTCCATGATGATCTCCACTGCCCCTGAGATCCTACCTGTATCCTGGCAGGGATTAGCCAAATGTCTGGAGGGTGAGTGACCTGCAAGAACCCATAAAAGGGGAATTCAGCAGAGATTCCCACAGAGTGCTGTGTCCTCTGGTGCAGACAAGAAACCTGAAGCTTCAACTGGCGTGGTAGTGCACACCTGTAATCCCACTGGGTCTGGAGGTTGAGACAGGAGGATCGTGAGTTCAAATCCAGCCACAGCAAAAATTGAGGTACTAAGCAACTTAGTGAGACCCTGTCTCTAAATAAAATACCAGATAGGTCTGGGATGTGACTCAGTAACATGAGTGCCCCTGAATTCAATCCCTGGTATCCCTCCAAAAAGAAAGAAAGCTGAAGCTGGGCCTAGGGTAGCAGCTGAATTCCTGTTCAGAGGTGGATTTGGTTGTAGACATGGTCATCCACTTCAGTAAAGTTGGAGGAGATTATTTTGTGCTGAATAAACTTAAAGCCAGGGACACTGAAAAAAATCTTTAATTGGCCATTTCCCATGACCCCCAAATTCTACTTGTAGAAAATCATCCTGCAGAAGTATCTGAGTGCTTCAGAAGGATTTATGCAGAGGGATCTCACTCTGGCATTGCTTGCAATAGAGAAATACTGGGAACAACCTAAATGTCTATCACAAGGTGATTGGTGATGGCCCATTTACAAACATTCTAAAACATGTGGCAGTGACTTTGTGGTACTGAAGTAATTGTAGAGCTGGGCATGGTGGAGCATGGTGCTGCTTGCTTGTAATCCTAGTAACTTGGAAGGCTGCATCAGGGGATGGAGGGTTCAAAGCCAACCTCAGCAACTTAGTGAGGTCCTAAGCAACTCAGGAAGACCCTGTGTCTAAATAAAATATATTTTAAAAAAAAGCTAGGGATGTGGATTTGTGGTTAAACACCCCTGGGTTCAATCTCTAGTACCTAAATAAATAAATATAGTAGCTGTGGGAATTAGCATTTCCTTCTTCTTTTCCTGGAAATGATTCAAAAGCAACAAGAAAAATGTGGGGGCCAGGCAAGATTGTTTTTGTGTGTGAAATGAGAGGAAAATATAATTTTCAGACTCTGGGATATATGAAAAGCTGCCAAAGTGCCTGTCACCAGGCAGAGATTGCAAAAGAGAAAGGGGCAGGGTGAGGAGGGGTGGAACAGAATGAGAGGTATCCCAGGGGCAGATGTTGGAAATTTCCAGGAATATATACACCTCCACAAGGTGGAGGATGTCACCTCCAGTGCAAAAGTGATCTCCCTCTTTTGTAACCACAGTTATGGGAGCTGGCCTGAGCAAGGCTGATGGCAGAGCCCAGTTAGGGTCATGCCACCAACAGAAATGGGCATTTCCATTATTCATTACAGTGTAGCAAACCATTGCCAAATTTGGTGACTTGAAACATCAATTTATTGCTATCTTTCACAGTTCTGGGATGTGACAGGCTTCAGCTGGTGGCCTTTGGAGTTTCTCATGTGGTTACTGTTAGATGGTGGCTGAGGATGAGTCATCTGAAGCTGCTTCACTTACAGTCTGGTGGCTGGGTTGTCAGGCATCCCTCTGTGTCCTCTCCACATGGTCAGCTTGGGTTTCCTCAGTGGTTTCAGGGTAGTCAGACTTCTTATATGGTAGCTGATGTCCCCCAGAGCAATTGTTTCAAGTGGCCTGGGCTGAAACTGCAAGGTATCTTATGACCTAGTGTGGAAGCTCCACGTTGTCATATTTTCAGCACATTCTGT